ATATATAATATGTATTTATTTTTTATTTTGTAATTAAATAATACATACAATATATATTTATTATTTACCAAATTGCAATTCTAGTTGAGTCGATACAATTATCACACCTGTGCCCCAATTAGGTCGTCGAGAATCGCATGATTCAGAAACTCGAATGTTTTCCAAGTTTCTAGAATACTTTATAGTTGATACGTGTAAAAATATGATACAACCAAGTTGGCCGAGCTGTAACAATGTTTTACACTCGTTTGGCAAACACTTTGATGAAGATGTCCCCGCGCCATCTTGAAATTGATCTACTCCACTCGTTACTCGCAAATTTATCGAGCAACTCTTGCGGACACTGTCTTTCGCGTATTATTGCGACAGAGAACGAGATTTCCTAGTTCAGTTGGACGTTTTATTCGAGGAATAGAGAAGAGAAAAATTTTGCAGACGGAATTTTGGCAGAATCATGCGACTTCGTCGAAGATGATATAATTAGACACGGTGGAAATAAAAATATACAGTTGCTCGGAGGTTGGAAACGGATGGGCTAGATCGCGGTTTTATTGGAAAGCAAACAAACCAGACTGCATCGTGTTTAGAATTCTTTTTGAATCTTTGAATTTCTCGCTCAGGTGGCAGAGGGGTTTTCAGTCGGTAGATACAGGGAGATTTATTAAAAGCATCGTGTTACCTTGTTGGAATCCGTAGGCGATGCTTTTATTGCAGCTGTACAATTTATAATGCATTCGAGCGTAATATGATTCCCACTTCTCTGCAAGTTAATTCGAGAATGCGTGTAATTCATTTATCAAACGTAGTCGTTGATTTACGCGAACTTTTATTCGCTGTTTTGCGAATTTATCCAAGAGAAATTTTGGTGACACTTATTTAGTAATTTGAGGTAATGTTAAGAATTTGGAATTGGACATTTGGAGGGACGATGGAGATGTTTTGTTTTCAATTTAAAGGAATATTAGAGATTTGAGATTTGGAGTTTGAAGGAATGTTTAATTGTCGATTCTTTAATTTAGAGGAGAATTTTAAATGTGAAACTTTGATCTCAAAAAATATTAAAAACGTGAAGTTTGAAATTTAGACGAATGCATAGGATTTAAAATTGTTTAAATGTACGAAATTTGAAATCTAATTTAGAGGAATATAGAAAATTACAAATTGCAAATTTATATCAATATTTATAACAACAATAATTCCTAAATATCAAAATTTTCAGAAAAATGTATACAAATACTCCTTTAGATCAGTATCAAAAATTCAGATTAATGGAATATTCAACAATAATTCCTAAATATCAAAATTTTCAGAAAAATGTATACAAATACTCCTTTAGATCAGTATCAAAAATTCAGATTAATGGAATATTCAACAATAATTCCTAAATATCAAAATTTTCAGAAAAATGTATACAAATACTCCTTTAGATCAGTATCAAAAATTCAGATTAATGGAATATTCAACAATAATTCCTAAATATCAAAATTTTCAGAAAAATGTATACAAATACTCCTTTAGATCAGTATCAAAAATTCAGATTAATGGAATATTCAACAATAATTCCTAAATATCAAAATTTTCAGAAAAATGTATACAAATACTCCTTTAGATCAGTATCAAAAATTCAGATTAATGGAATATTCAACAATAATTCCTAAATATCAAAATTTTCAGAAAAATGTATACAAATACTCCTTTAGATCAGTATCAAAAATTCAGATTAATGGAATATTCAACAATAATTCCTAAATATCAAAATTTTCAGAAAAATGTATACAAATACTCCTTTAGATCAGTATCAAAAATTCAGATTAATGGAATATTCAACAATAATTCCTAAATATCAAAATTTTCAGAAAAATGTATACAAATACTCCTTTAGATCAGTATCAAAAATTCAGATTAATGGAATATTCAACAATAATTCCTAAATATCAAAATTTTCAGAAAAATGTATACAAATACTCCTTTAGATCAGTATCAAAAATTCAGATTAATGGAATATTCAACAATAATTCCTAAATATCAAAATTTTCAGAAAAATGTATACAAATACTCCTTTAGATCAGTATCAAAAATTCAGATTAATGGAATATTCAACAATAATTCCTAAATATCAAAATTTTCAGAAAAATGTATACAAATACTCCTTTAGATCAGTATCAAAAATTCAGATTAATGGAATATTCAACAATAATTCCTAAATATCAAAATTTTCAGAAAAATGTATACAAATACTCCTTTAGATCAGTATCAAAAATTCAGATTAATGGAATATTCAACAATAATTCCTAAATATCAAAATTTTCAGAAAAATGTATACAAATACTCCTTTAGATCAATATCAAAAATTCCAGATCAAAAATTCACAATAATCAAATATTCAATAATAATTCCTAAATATCAAAATTTTCAGAAAAATGTATACAAATACTCCTTTAGATCAATATCAAAAATTCCAGATCAAAAATTCACAATAATCAAATATTCAATAATAATTCCTAAATATCAAAATTTTCAGAAAAATGTATACAAATACTCCTTTAGATCAATATCAAGAATTCCAGATCAAAAATTCACAATAAACAAATATTCAATAATAATTCCTAAATATCAAAATTTTCAGAAAAATGTATACAAATACTCCTTTAGATCAATATCAAAAATTGCAGATTAAAAATTCACAATAATCGAATAATCAATCATCAATCTTATATGACATAAAAATCCTCGCAGAGAACCACCCAGCGGAACGAAGAAGAAAAAGAAGAGGATGATCTACTGGCGACAAATAACAGGTGGAAGAAAATTGAAATCGCAACGAGACGCTTTGGCTTCTCACGAGCAACCCGCACGAAAATAGTGATATTGTAATTAGCATTGTGTATCGTCGTAGTACACAGATCTGCCGCGAGAAACCAAGAAGCTTGGCACGGCCTTCGTCGTAACAGGTCGGTCTAAATTTATTTTTCCTCCTTCCAGATGCTCGAGGAGCACGTATCTGCGTCGTATAATTTTGGAAAACGATGGAGAAACATCCTCTTATAACATTGCAACCTGACGTTCGACTCGTCCGACATTTTCCTTCGCTGTCTAACGTATTTTAACAGGCAGCGAAATAATTAGAAGCGTGTTACACGCATGAAATAAGGACTCGAAATTTGGACGAGAGATCGTTTGTTTCTCCTCGAAACAGGCTGGCGGGTGTACCAGTTGTTATTTGTAGAACGAAAAATTATTGTTTATTGGCAACGAGAAAATATGTACGGGGATGCCTTGAGAATTTGCTTTTCTTTCGAGATTCTCTATGATTCGTTGGTAGATTTTCTTCTTTTTATTTTTTCAGGGAAAGAAATTGGTTATTCGGAGGATTGGGAAGATACGTATGTGTTGGTGATTATCAAAGTGGTTTAAGTAAAAGTGTAAACAAAATTGAATTTATTAGATAGGTGCTTGATGTGTTGCATGGATTTATAATATTATTGTACGATAATGTGGAACCCTTTTTGTAAAATTGCCACTATAATTGTAAACTGTAAATGTTTGCTTTTTCAATGAAATTCATTATTTTTTATCGATGTCAGTTCGAAAATAGTCTGTTATTTGAGGTTTAAAGAATAAGGTGCCCATAAAATTTTACAATCGTAGAAAATCATTAGAAAATTTAATATAATTACAAAAATTCGTTATTCTTTGTTGTCATAAGTCACTTTTGAGATACACTGTTAATTTTGAAAATGGTCATTTGAGGATTCAAAAAAAAAAATTTCAGAAATTTTGGAATCAGAAAATCATTATAAAATTCATTAATGTAATTACGAA